GGGGAGTTTTTCCTTATCAGCTGTGAGGGTCTTAAGGACAGAGGGATGTCGTATGCTGTAAAGCCCTGTGAGGCAAATTGTGATTTGTGATATTGGGCTTTATAAATAAAATTGATTGAATTGATTGAAGGAAACAGATTATATAATATTGTGTAGATTAGTATATGCATTAAATGACTTTTAATTATTATTTTATTCAAAAATCCTACTGGTTAATTGAACCCAGTCAAGACTATAAATACAGATGGGTGGCTGAAAAAAAAATACATTTATTATTTTTCTTTCTAAATCTCAGCTTAATTGATTCTTGCAAAGGTGACCAAGGTTATGCCCTCACCCCATGACTGATGACTCCCCTGTCAAACCCCCAGACCAGTCAGGAGCGTTCTTACAATCACCGGCACGCATGCACCTGCTTAGTGGTGGAGCGCACAATTAGAGTGCTGAAGGTCAGGTGTATGTGCCTGTAACACCAGTACTGATGCTCTGGAAAATTAAATTTCATATTCACTCAATCACAGCGGTGCCTGGACAGCGTGACGTGTGTGGTTGTGCTGCTGCCGTGGTCCTGCCAGATGCCTCCTGCTGCTGCTGCCATCATTAGTCATTAGTCATACTTCTACTGTTATTATACACATATGACTATTGTCACACATGTATACTGCCAGATATTAATACATACTTTCAACATATTGTACCACAGTAGCCAGAACTATAACTATAATATTATTACTTTCAATAATGTTGTTGTAAGCTACTGTCATTACCCTCTCTCTCTCTCTCTCTCTGTCTCTCTCTCTGTCTCTCTCTCTCTCTCTCTCTCTGTCTCTCTCTCTGTCCCATTGTGTCATGCATTACTGTTAATTTATTATGCTGATCTGTACTGTACGACATCTATTGCACGTCTGTCCGTCCTGGAAGAGGGATCCCTCCTCAGTTGCTCTTCCTGAGGTTTCTACCGTTTTTTTTCCTCGTTAAAGGGTTTTTTTGGGGGAGTTTTTCCTGATCAGCTGTGAGGGTCATAAGGACAGAGGGATGTCGTATGCTGTAAAGCCCTGTGAGGCAAATTGTGATTTGTGATATTGGGCTTTAAATTGAAATTGAAATTGAAATTAAATGTCTCCTGTGTTGAATTTCATTTAATAGTGCCTCAATTTCATTGTTGCTAAAGTTCTTCTTCTTTCTACTTCCCTTTTTCGGTGGCATCTCTCCAGTTGTTGTGCCAGAGTTAGGTCTTTGAATGCAGCACATCACCTGCCCTTACCTGGTGTTTATGGGTGTCACATATGCTAATTGAAAACAATCAGCCATGCGCCTCCAATTTACGATCAAGTGTGATTCATCATTCAGCACACCTGGGTAAGAACAGATTTGGATGGTAAGGCGTTTGGTGCATCGGGAGTTGACTTCTTTTATTTTTTCTCTTAACCCAAAAAAAAAGAGCAAATAAGAGAAATTTAAGAGAATGTTGCTGCATGAGGCCCACTGTCTCATACTTCACCTTTGCTGTTTTCACACATCTTCATATTATTATGTTTCAGCTGCGAACCAGAGTTCTTCAGGACTATGTGCATTTATCTCTGTAAGATCCAGAGAGGAGGCCAAACTGCACAGTCTGAGGTACACATTTATATAATTACTGGTTTTTGTTCTTATAACACCATCTTGTCCAGTTTGAATGTTCACTTTGTGGTGGCCATCATTAATGTCATGACTGTTTTTTTTTCTTACTTCTTTGATTGTCAGGTTTTCAAATGGCATGGCCTTGCTCTGGTGTCGATGGGTAAGAAAAGGACCAGAGGTCTGTCCGGTGACTATTGAAGAACTTTCTCTCCCCTCAGACAGCCCAACCATCAGACAGTTTTGTTGAAGGTTGTCAGTAATTTAGCATCCCTGCTGAGATACTAGACAGTCAGATGGTTAGACTTTATTGAGTTCTGTGATTCTGATCTGGGTGTCATTCCACTGCTGCTTCATGATGGCCATCTAACAGCCTTATAAACACCTACCATTGAATGAAAATGTGAAATGCATTAACTATTTACTTTTCAAACATATATTCATATATTTTTATCTGCAGATTGAATGACACGATTGTCCAGCAGCTACTCTTCCTCCTCCATGAAATCCAGGACAAGATCTTGACCTGGTCCTTCTTGCGTGAGATCGGTGGAGACCTCACCTCTTGCTGTGTGAACTGGGAGCTTCTTCATAATCTGGTGGAGCAGCCGTCACCTCAGACCTTTACTGTGAACCTGAGGAAGAACAGCTTCTTACAGAAGAGCATCACATGCCTGCTTCCCTTTCTGGACAGGATTATGTATTATGTATTATGTATGTTTGTCCTATTTAATAATTTGCACGTGTTGTTGTTTCCAAAGTGTCCAGGTTTCAGGCTCTGTCCCAGCTAGATCTATAAAGCTACCATTATACCCAGTTTACTGAGGTCATTGGATCATGTGATCACCCTGAACCTGTAAATAGAGTCCATCCTCCTTACACCGGACCAAGTTTCACAGAGTTTTGATTTTTTCACTTTTTGGACACAAGCCATGCCAGGTCTAGTTTCAGAGAGCACTTTGAAGGCCCAGTGTATAAAATGATTTTTGTTTGTTTCTTTACTTGTTTTTTTCTTTTTTGATGTAGATAGTTACTAAAATGAGTCATCCTCTGCTTATAACATGTAAAGCCCTATGTGCTACATTTTACTGTATAAAAAGTGCTCTATAAATAAATATTAATTGATTGATTGATTGATAATAGTCTGGAAATCCCATCTTCATCCTGTTTGTATTGCCATGGTACAAGATTTGATGCACACACATACACACACACACACACACACACACACACACACACACACTTTTCTTAACAGAGATAGTGGTGTTTGGATTCGGCTGCGGCAGACAGTCCCAAACAGCCTCCGTCAATACGCACAGAGATCATTTTTAAATGTTTTGTTGGTGCTTTATATCTTTTTAGTTTTGTGATTTTACTTTTGCTGTATGTTTTATTTGTTTTCAGTCCAGTGGACAATTTCAATTAGTTTGAGTGTAACCAACATAAATCAGTAACTGTTAATGAATTCTTATGGGCTGAAGAGTCAATAGCATTTCCATTCAGTGTGGTTTTTCCCATCCATCCAAAGATGCACTTTATGGTTTCTTCTATAGATCAGCATCGACTATATATAGTAAGCAAGCATAGTAATGGTGTTTGATTTCACTTCAAACTTGATTTCTTTTTAGTTTCGAGAGTATGATTTCAATTTTGTTTCATATTTATTCTTGATATTACACCTGAGATCTTCCCTTTTATCAGTGTTTTGGTTCATTTTGTAGAAAGAAAAAAACAAGTTCAATGAATTCTAAAGTAGAGTCAAAAATGAAACACCAAAGTATGGTTTACATTTTGTACTACCTTGTCATTTTCAAGTGCCTTCATCATTTCAAGTGTTAATTGTAACGAAAAATTTTATTTTCGTTGAACCTGTGAACTGATTTATGTGAAACCATGTGTATGTACATTTGTACATACTGTACCCTTTGTGTGTTACGAAGATATGTGCAGCATCATAATTATACAGATCATTGAAACGTGTATGGGGCTTAGCTGACTCAGAGAGAATGTTGTCATGGGAGATTTTTAGGACCAGTGATTGACATGTGAATGTGGAAGATACAAGACAAACAGAAGACAGAGGGGAGGAAGAGATGAGCCTGCTGACACGATGCATTTCTTCAAACTCCCCTGGTAACATTTGATTCGTTGATTACTCTCATAACTTGAGAAGAAAAACATGAGGCCGATGGGTTTGCCTTTTTGAGGACATATGTAGCAAACAGCATCATTTATAAAGTACTATATTATTTATTTATCTTTTATCTTTGAACACAGGTTTACAGCATTTCCAAGGTGGCAGTCTGAATCACTTGCAAAGGCACGCTCTTTCTACGGGCCCACCCCAAGGGCCGTCTATGGCCTGGATGGAGGCAACGGTTGTAAGAACCATCCAACAAAAATGGTTTGACATGAAAGCTGATGCAAAAACGTCCCCACAACATCTACAGGAGGCTCTCCCTGGTCACAGCTCTCTGCTGCAGACGAGCGCACTGCTTGTATCATCGGAGAGACCTTTCTGTCAGTGGAGACAGCGACATGCCTCCAACTGGAGCAGTGAACAACAAACTCAGAAGGTGCGGAGATGGCACGTGCACAGATAGACCCCAGGTGGTGTTCAAGCACCTGTCCTTTAGCCCTGTGTCTAGATAAGTGGCTTTTTTGCAAGTTTCTTTCTTTTTAACAATTTTATATTTTAGTTTTTAAATTTGGCCCATGGCTCAATTAAAAGTGTGTTGTTTGCCCGACAACTGCGTTTCAGTCGCCTATGCAGCTTCACCAACTTATTTAGAAGATCGTTATAATAATTATCACATGAGTCTTTATAAAAGAAAGAGGAGAAGAGAAGAACAAATTGAGAGGAGAGGAGACACAGGCCTACTTTGTAGTCTGGAGGGTAGATTGGTTGGTTTCCAATTTTGTATCAAGTTGATTACAATGACTCGTTCTCATTTTTAAGAAACCTGATCTGAAGCCAAAAGCCAACTGATTTATGTAAATGTGTTATATTTCTAGTCTTGTCATGTTTAACTAGTTTCAGAGGCATCTGCGTATTGTGAACATAATAGGAATTCAAATTGTAATTCCTAATAATGACAAGCACTACGAGCAGTCAGAAGCTGGTGTAGATTTTGTTAGTACCCACGGACAGATCGGACTTTCTAACATATCGATGAATTCTAAAAATAGCAGATGTTTTACTGGAATTTTTATTGATCTTAATACCCAGTAACACAGTGGTTTAACTTCACAGCAGTAGTACACCATGCCAAGGCTCAGGGCAAACATGATGCCTGGCTGGATGTCACCGATGAAGGCAGGTGATACACTAACTGACACTAACCAGTTTATTTATTTTGTTCAGGTGTCAAGTTCAATGTGCTGTTTGTCTCCCCCGGCTGTGGCACTCCTCTTTATTTTATTTTTTATTTATTTATTTATTTATAAATAGAAATTATTAATGTAAATAATTTAAACATTTTTCAAAATATAATTGTGGAAGAAATGCCACGTTTTCTTCCTCTTGAGCACGTGCCCATGGAAATGTCTGTGCATGGCACTGTTGCCCATTTTAAGACTACAGGAGAGTTTAATTGTAAAGTGCTGCTGCATCACACAGAGCAGCATTATTCTTATTACTTTACAATAGTGTCAGAGCTAAATAACGTTCTGAAATTGACCGAGACATGAATTGTTATTCACCGTGTGTACATTGGGTGTCGCTGTGCTGGCACAGGTGTACAGGTGGGAGGGTCACCGCTGCTGTTCGCTGTTTGACCTGGAAGAGATCAGGGTCTAATGGGCACAGGTGTGTTTGTGTTACCGATGGAAACGGAGGAAATGGATCATTATTCTGCAGCCAGCACAGGAGGCCGCGTGTGTGCGCGTCAGCCTGGTCACACCTGGGTTTGATACCCGAGTTCATTTTGAGACTTCGTCTGAAAGCTTCTGGAGGTTTGGGTCATGGCGGAGGCGGTGTGGGAGGACTAGGAAAGCTGCCGGGAGCAGACTGAAGCATCGGATCATCGGATCGCTGCACGGCATCTGACGCACGGAGGTATGTGCAGCTGCACTGTTTACTGTGCACACATGACTGGACATAAACCCGATGCATTGGTTGCAGCAAACTTTTCGTTGACTGATCGCGGAGATGCGCGACGAGGGACTAGTGTGTTAGTAGGGGAGACCGGGATTGGTTGACACACTTTGTACTCGTGTGTGAATTACTCAACATGAAAACATCTGTCAGCAGTAATTCCTACATTAAATGAAACCTGAAGGTCTCGGCTTGACGGATATCTCTTCCATTTTTACAACTTATAGAGTCCCATCATTCAGTAGAGGCTTGTTGGGGCTCATTTGCACAAGACGTGTGTAACTTGACCAAAAGTCCTTTATCAAGGTTGGTTGCATTAGAACCGTTCACACGTGGTTAGGTTTAGGGCAACATAAATGTGGTTGGGTTTAGGCAACAAAAAGTTCATGCAATAAAAACACACGGGATGTTTAGGCAACTAAAACCCTCATAGTTAGGTGTAGGCAACAGAAACACGTGGTTAGGTGAAGGCAACGAAAATGTGGTTAGGTTTAGTCACCAAAGACACATGGTTAATAAAAACACATTGTTGAGTTTGACCGTGAATGTGTCAAAAAAAAAATTAAAAAGAACACAGGAAACGTAAAGCATGTCGTTAAAAACTGCTGCTGCTGCTTATTATTGTAGTAAAGTATGTCTTAAAATAATCATGAAAAAACAACATAGTGTAGTATGTCCTCAAAAAATGTAAACAAAAAAAAGTCATAGTATATCATGTAGTCAGATATCACATGAAAAAACATCATGGTAAAATATGTCCTAAAAAAGACATGCAAAATCTAGTACAATGTGTTGTTAAAACACATGTGAAAACATCACTGTATAGTATGTCATCAAAAATCATGACAAAACATCATAGTATATCATGTAGTCAAAAACCACAAAAAAAGAAAGTATAGTATATTCTCAAAAATCACTAAAAAAAATCATAGTATAGTGTGTCATCAAAAAAAGGTCATAGTATAGCATGTTGTCATAGATAATTAAAAAAAAGTCAGTGTTATATATCTTAAAAAATCACTAAGAATGACAGTTAAGTGTGTCGTCAAAAAACACAAAAAGTCTTAGTATTGTATGTCGTTAAAAATCATGTGAAAATTTCATA